AACTTTGCTTTTTAGTTAACTCGGATATTTTTTCGGATTTCGGAAAATAATATTTTCTAATTGGTAAAACGTAAAAAATCGTTAGATCTGACAGCCCTGCTGAAACTGGTCGTTCATCTGGATGCACCAATGTACGCAATATGACCAGCCAGCCGTCGCGTCGCGTCATCGGTGCGTTTGAGCTCTAAAATTAAAATGATTTTAATAATAAACGATGAAATTAAAGAGAATTCTTTACCTAAAACTGGCCATTATTTTCATTGCAAGAAAATGCCAAATATACTATAAATAGTAGGAACAGAGGAATTATGGTGTACACTATGAAGGAATTCTACAGGAATTCCAAGGAATTACGAGGAATTCCATAGGAATTACTGGGAATCCCAATTATTTCCGTAAGAATTCCAATGAATTCCAAGGAATTCCTTAGAAATTTAGAGGAATTCCACAGGAATTAAGAGGAATTACAAGCAACTTTATAAAAAATTAACGAACATTAGTAAACCATGAATACTATAATAATAGGTAGTAATAAATTTAAAGAAAAACGTTTTACATGCGATTTTTTACTATCCGTTTTTCGTTTTCGCTTCCAAAATTTCCCAATATCAAATATCTACAGGTTAGATATTCTTTTAATTTAATATTGTACCCTCGATTATATATCTAAAATATTTTCCAATAGTACGGCCGAACCACCCCCGAGAGATCTACTTATAACGTTCCCTGATTTCGCCATTTTAAAGAAACCCCCATAAGATTTTTTATTCAGTACTCAGAAAGTGTAAAGTTGATTTTTTCATTTCCTCGGAATAATACCTAGGTATATACTATAGGGAAATTAATACAACTTTAGGTGCACTTCATCAATGATACCATGCGTAATCTTATGGAATTTACAGGTGATCGTATGACGTGCAACTGAAGTTTTATTAATTTCCTTTCCTATAGATACGAGTATAACTAGGTACCTATCATTTTCAAAAAATCCCGAGAAAAATTAATTTTAATAAGTAAGTGCCGACATATTTCCAGTATTTTTACCTCATGATCCCCTATTAGTCCTAAAATTTAACTAAAAAAACGTAAATCTCGTAATAGTACTTTTTATTGTTAGATCTAGTACTTATAGAGACATTAGACATTTATAAAAATCACCAGAAAATTCATAGCGGAACTGCGAAACCGAGGTGGCAACGCTGGTTCAGACTGAAAGAGTTACCGAGTTCGTACCAAGGAATTCCAAGGAAGACCTTGAATGATTGACCTTGACCTTGAAGACCAGGAATTCCAAGGAATTCCGAAGGAATTACGACGAATTCTGAGGAATTATTTGAGTAAAAGGAATTACGGTGTACACTTTTCCCTCTGCGGTTTACCCCTCGGAAAAACGTTACAGCTATTACAAGAAATGTTGAATACCTGAAAACATATCTCAGGTATATGTTTTCAGGTATTCAACATTTATACGAATTTTATACGAATTACGAAGTAAGATTTGTAATACGAAGTAAGAATTGTAAACTCAGTTAAGAACGATAACTAAAAAGTAAAGACACAACAAAGTAATGAGATTTTTGAATGTCCGGAGTGCGGAAGAAAGGTAACATCAGAGCAACCATATTTCAGCAACCAATACTAAAATCGATGCATCGGAATCTTTAAACGCAAAAATCTTGAAAACTGTTCACCGTTTCGAACTAAACGAAGAGCACTTTTTTATAAAAAAAGTCCTAGCTATAATTATCATTTGTTGAAATTACTATATCTATAAAGATAAAAGAATCAAACATAGTACTTTCTACCCTAATGGAAAGTACTCTTTCAGGACTTTTACGGAATTTTACATTATCGCCATTCGCTTTGGCATCAAAATGTATGTAAGTGTACCAAATTTCAAGAAAAACAGTTCACCAATGTTCTTAAAAATAAACAATAGTTATTTTTGTATCTAGTGCGCGAAGTGCTACTTTGGTGATCGATACTTGCATTTTTTAACGATGCGTAGCCGAGTTGAAAAATTAGTCGAGATCACCAAAGTAGTTCGTGCACGAGTTGCAAACAACATTTTTTCTACAAACATTAAAATCGAGATATCCCTAAAAATTATTATTATCTATCAACAATAAAATTCAAATATCAAATAAAATTTTGGAGTGTCAAATACCGGGATCAAGTACATCTACATCAAAACTGGATAGTGATATTTATACCAAAACCCCCATATCTGAAGCAAAATCAGAACTATCTAGTTTGGGATTAAATAATGGTTCGTGTAGGTTAGGTTAGTTTTTCAATTTATCCATAGTTGGTTGTACTATTAATGTTAATATTGTAAATAATAACTAGAATATGCATTAGTGTTAAGTTTGATATTTGTTTATTCTTGAATATTTCGAAATAAATAATTAGTTATGATTTTAGTTCTTTATTTTCCAAAAATCAAAATTCCAAAATCCCATATAATTTACATGCAGTGTGCGAAATAGGTATTTCATGCATTGTAGAATGTAGAATGTTTAGGAGGGGAGTTAATCACCGCGATCTTATAGATCTATTGTGTGTTCCCCTTTCTTGAGTTATAACGAGTTATAACTCATCACACAGTCTCAGGGCTCTAACAAAAGCCAGTATCTGAGACGGCTTCACAGAGGCCAGCTCTCCATCCTCGACATCAGACGTACTAAGGTTCATGGCACGAATGGCCGTCGTCTCGGCGCACTCAGTGATAAGGTGTTCTGGTGTTTCCCCATTTTCCCCACAAAATCTGCATTTGCCCACAAAATCTGCATTCGCCAGGCACCCCGAGTAGGAGGACTTTATTTTCTTTGCCTAATTTCTTGAGCTTCTCTAGGCATTCTTTGACCAACTTCGAATTGATGGTTACTGAGTTGATCGCGTTAAGTGCTGCTTGACTATCGGATAGGATGGCAATTTTCTGTTTTCGATAGTTCCTATCTAAGAAAAATTGTACGCATCTTTCGATAGCGCAAACCTCTGCCTGAAGGATACTGGGGCAGGTGCCCATTGGTTCGGAGTATTCAGTTTTCGGCCCAAATACTCCTATCCCTGTCCCTGCTTTGGTTTTGGAAGCATCAGTATACCACGTGATGCTATGGTCTTTTATATGCTGAGTAAGCGTTTTTTTCTTCCATTTTTATTACTCAATACTACAGTGAGGTGTTTCTCAAAGTTGTAAATTCTTGGTATGTCATCCACTGGGAGTTGGAGAAGTGGAATTTTCTTTTTGAGGGTGTTCCAAGCCCCTGATCTGAAAATTCTCCCAGTACTGTTTCCGTCAGTAACCATTCTAATCATTGTCGCATTGGCATAACTACCGACGACAATGTGCAGTGATGTTAGGTCTAGAATGACCTCCATTGCTGCTGTTGGACATGTTCTCATGGCACCTGTGATGCAGATACATGCCAGTCTCTGTACTTTGCACAGGTTTTGCCTTGCTGTACGTTGCTCTAGTTTTGTATACCTAGCAACTGCTCTATAAGTAATCATGGGTCTTACTATCATAGTATACATCCAGCGCAAAATGTTAGCGGCGCAGCCCCACCTATTTCCCGCCAGTTTTCTCATGGTAACGTAGGAAAATGAAAAAAAGTGTCACTTCGCACATTGCTATCAATTCGCGAACCTTGTCATTTTTTGACGTTTGTAGAAGAAATATATTATTTTTCTTTGCCTTTTCGAGGGCTGTCCCTTTCTTCAGGGAATATATACAGAACCATTTTAGGGCATATACGCATAGGAACTTATAATCTGTACAATCACCCACCTAACTTAAATAAATTATTTTTTTGACATCCCCTATATAGGTATAATTTAAATAAAACAATATTATAAAGTTCACAGAAAAATATTATAAAAAATTCTTGTATATTTTCATAAAACACCGCACGCCTCTGGATATTTTATGAATGAAATCGGCGATGTTTTTAGAAATCTACGTTTCCCTCATCGCTTGTTTCAAATCCATTTTTAGACAAAATCACTTTTAGTTAGGTACAATTCTGTGGGCACTCTATATGGGCACAAATATTTTACAAATGTCCATTTGTGGTCTAAGCTTAGTTGAAAATTTTATCGAAACATTTGAAATTTCTTTCTGCAATATCCATAATACTAGACCAAATAGTAACCTTAGCAATTATTTTCCCCTTTTCATTCATTATTTGTACACGGCCATACATAAGGCCCGCCGCAAATTGAACCCAGCCCACGCACAGCACACGCCCAACCCATTCATGATTCCACGCACACGTTTTCCTTAGCACCGCATATTGAACACAGCCCAGACCCAAGTTTTTAGTTTCGATCATGAGTGAATACGAGCAACTTCTTGATTTAGAATCAGGATCTGAGAACGAAGAAGTATTTATTTTACTTCATTTGCTTAATAAATAGAGAAAAAAAAATGTAAAAAACGCATATTTGCGAAAAAAAAACAAGCAAAGGAGAGTTTAGATTGTCTAGCAAAGTTCCAGACAGTCTATTTAAAGAGTCTTTTCGATTAAACAGGAGACAGTTTTTTGAAGTGTATGAACTAATAAAATCAGACATTACCGGTAAGGAATGCAACGCCCGAAAACCTATTGGAAGTGAAGAAAAACTAGCGGTTTGTCGCAAAAGTCGCAAAAGTAGAAGGGGAAGGAACCCACGACCCACGAAAACTGTGTCTGAACGCAACTAGATCCACGAAAGGGCTGTGCTAGGCGTGGAGTGTGTTTAATTTGCGGTACTCCCTTCTTTCCTGTGTTTTACAAAATTCCCCACGCATGAGTTGGGCGTGGGCTGGGTTCAATTTGCGGCGGGCCTAATTCACAATTATGAGACAAAAGCAACATTTCAGATTAATCCTGAACTCTGACCATTGAAAACGAGAAAACGTTGCAGTGAAAATGTGGAAAATCGGAAAATTCCACAACACGGTGTAAATGCATATTAGAAATGACGAATTATCAGTACCATTCTCCGTCTCATATTACCTATAAAATGGCAGCGATGTTCATTTTCAAGCCAAGTCTGAGGTCTTTTTTTCCGATAGTATGTATCAATGAACCCTCTAAAAAATAAATAAATTTAAAATACCTATATACTATATTACAAAAATAAAAAAGGTTGCTAGAGTGAGAACTAGCGAGAACAAATTTTATTATAACTAGAAATTTACTAAAAAGAAAAAAACTATATTTATTATAACTAAAAAATAAGTAGTCAAAATGTATAGGTATATTTAAAGTAAAACAATATTATATAAACTTCACTGAAACATATAAAAAATTCTGGTATATTTTCATAAAATACCGCACGCCTCATTTTATGAATGAAATCGGCGATGTTTTTAGAAATCTACGTTTCCCGCATCGCTTGTTTCAAATCCATTTTTAGACAAAATCACTTTTAGTTAGGTACAATTCTGTGGGCACTCTATATGGGCACAAATATTTTACAAATGTCCATTTGTGGTCTAAGCTTAGTTGAAAATTTTATTGAAACATTTGAAATTTCTTTCTGCAATGTCCTAATTTAAAAATACCTATATACTATACTACAAAAATAAAAAAAGTTGCTAGAGTGAGAACTACTTAGAACCTAACTAAAAAAAGAAACTAAATTTATTATAACTAGAAAATAACTAGTCAAAATGTATAGGTATATTTAAAGTAAAACAATATTATATAAACATCACTGAAACATATAAAAAATTCTGGTATATTTTCATAAAATACCGCACGCCTCATTTTATGAACGAAATCGGCGATGTTTTTAGAAATCTACGTTTCCCGCATCGCTTGTTTCAAATCCATTTTTAGACAAAATCACTTTTAGTTAGGTACAATTCTGTGGGCACTCTATATGGGCACAAATATTTTACAAATGTCCATTTGTGGTCTAAGCTTAGTTGAAAATTTTATTGAAACATTTGAAATTTCTTTCTGCAATGTCCTAATTTAAAAATACCTATATGCTATATACAAAAATAAAAAAAGTTGCTAGAGTGAGAACTACTTAGAACCTAACTAAAAAAAGAAACTAAATTTATTATAACTAGAAAATAACTAGTCAAAATGTATAGGTATACTAGCATGTACTAGCACTAGACGCGACATGTTCGCGTCGAATTAATCATTTGTAATGGTGATGATAAAGCACAGCAAGAATTTCCATTAACATACAAACTGGATAAAATTTTCTCACATTTATGTCAGCATGAGAAAAAACAATATGGCGATATTATTATATAACTTGGTAATATTTGAGGGGCAGTTTCATCTCGTTGTAATTTGACTTTCAAAAAATCCGTTTGCTAAAAATAAGCTTTTTACGTCAAGCAATTTAAGCAGAATCGTGGTTAATCAATTACACAACTTTTTGGAACACCCTGTATGATTTTTCAAAAAATTTCAAGATATGTAAAAAGAACAAATAAATTATGCTTGTCCAAGCGTTTTCCCGAAAGACTAACCGTTTTTTAAATTACAAATATTGTAATATTTGAGCGGCGTTTTCACCCTCTTGGAATTTGAGATTCGAGAAACCCCTCCTTATCGAACCTCTACTCCCCACAGTCAATCCGTTTGCCAAAAATCAGCTTTAAACGTCAAGCAGTTTAAGCAGAATCATGATTACTCAATGGTCATATTTTATGAAACACCCTGTATAAATTTATAAAAAATCTTAAAATATGTAAAGCAACAAAATAAAATATACGTGTTTCAGAGTTTTTCCGAAAAACTCACCGGTTTTTAAATAAAAAATATTTTAATATTTGAGGGATAGTTTCACCTCCTTAGAGTTCGAGTTTCCAAAAATCCCTTCTTATGGAACCTCTACACCCTAAAGTCAATCTGTTTTCCAAAAATCAGCTTTTTACGTCAAGCGCTTTAAGCAGGATCGTGATTAATCAATGACCAGATTTTTCGAAACACCCTGTATACATTTTTAAAAAATCTTAAAATATGTAAAAAAACAAAATAAAATATACGTGTTTAAGCGTTTTTTCGGAAACTTGACCGTTTTTTAAATAAAAAATATTGTAATATTTGAGGGATGGTTTCACCCTCTTGGAATTTCGAAAAATCCCTTCTTATCGAACCTCTACACCCTAGAATCAACCTCTATCAGGGCCGGCGGAAGGGATATATTGAGACCGGGAAAATACACTACCTGACCCCCCCCCAATAGTTAACATGTTACGATAACAACTACAGTCTGACAAACGGATCTGAAACAACGGGGCAACAGTAAGGGGATCGCAATTTTGTGAAATCATCACCGATTTCATTGATAAAATATCCAGGAGCGTGCGGTGTTTCATAAAAATATATCAGGAATTTTTATAATATTTTTCAGTAAAGTTTATAATATTATTTTACTTTAAATGTACCTACATTTTGTTTAGTCATTTGCCAAATATAGTAATATTTGTTAAAACCCGTGTACTAATTACAATAAGCAGAAATCAAGTTAAATGCATAAAACACAATATAATACACCGCCACTGGATTTTTCAGTAGTTGTGGCTGTTTCTACTATTCCTAGAGAGGGGCATAAAGTTGGGGGTAATGGCGGCAAGACGTGCGACAATCTCGACCAATCAGATTGGTTGAATCCGGGATGCCATGATGAATTTTGTCAGCGTTGCCAGCTTGCCCTAAGCAGACGTTATTTTTAGGAGAAATACTTTACCTTTTATAATAGGCAGAATGAAGGAGATCAATTAATTAGATAAATATACATTAACAAAATAAGAACAACGTCAAGATATTAGCATATATATATATATAATTATGTATGCTGAAAAGAACTAAAATATATTCAATTTATATTTTATATTTTTATTATATATATAAAAGGTAATATTGAGCAACTTTGCTTTTCTATTATTAAACGTGACAACGTCGACTTTTTTTGCCCGAATTCCTCTTGCTGTTTTAGATCCGTTTGTCAGATAATAAGCATATTTATCTTTTTTATCTAGAGAGCCATGGCTGTGTTAAAAACACTAATTTTTAAACAAGGAGCCTTGGAAAAATAGATTTGATCGTCTAATGTTTTTTGTGTCTTGTGCTGGTCGGCTAAAAAATGTTCAAATCGTATTTTTAATCATATGCCAATTTTTTCAAATGGAACAAATGGCTCATTTGCATATTTGGAAAAAGAATTTTTTACGAATAATTTTGTACCACACGCTTGATATTTCGAGTCAAATTGTCGTTATGAACCGTATGTTACAATTTCAAATAATCCATATGCGAAAATGTCAAAAGTTGAGATATGATATGCCATTCTATTCAGATTGTCATTTTCTATCGCATAAAGTAGAAATATACCGAGGTTGACATTTAAAAATCAAAAGTTTTATTAATTTCCGGTGAAAGAGGAAGTGATAAAAAACAATTGAATACGTCAATTAATCCTAATTTATGTCGTATACTAACATACCAAATCTCGCTTTTTCATCTGAAAAAATAAACAAGTTATAGGAGTGAGCCAGTTTAGAGACGCACCCGGTATATAAATGATAAGTATAAGTGATCTTTGAAAACATTACTATTTAGTTGCAAGCAATTGCATTATTTTTCTATAAGAATTTAAAAAGAAATCTTTTCTTTTTCACAATCAATTATTGCGTGCAGAATCAGTATAGGTGTGATCAGATACAGTTTTGTCGGCTTCAAAATGAGGATCAGCCAGTGTTTGACTTTTGAGATGCATTCATTTGTCTTGCTTTAATGAGAAATTTCTACGATTCTGCTACTATTTACCATATATTACTACATATTCAATCCAGAACAATCAAAATCACCAAAAGATTGATATTTTTCCCACTACTGTTAATAAATTAATGAGGCAAACTTACAAGCTTTTTTTTGATAATAAGGATATCGGGATCCTATTTAGCTTCTTGCAAATGAATATTTGTCTCATATAAGTTTAGGGCAGATCCGCCATTACCAAATAAAGGGTGTGGGTATTAGACAAAGTGCAATTTTGAGCAACAAGCAGTCTAAAACTTTCAATTTTGCTGGCTCTTGACCCAAAACAGTTTGTTTAGAGAAAATTTATAAAAACAAGAATTATAGAAAGAAGAGTTATTTACAAAAAGTTGATAGCTTTTCAGTTATAAGTAAAATACCACGAACAATTTTTTTTAAATATTTTAGTTGCTGGCGTGGCGCCCCTCACATTCGACGCCCCGGGCGGTCGCCCGGGTCGCCCGGCCCTTCCGCCGGCCCCGACCTGTATGCCAAAATTGAGCTTCTTACGTTGAGTGGTTTGAGCAGAATCGTGATTAATCTGTATGTCAGTCACTTAAGGATTTTATATATTAGTATAGATTTAAAGTGAAACAATATTATATAAACTGTACTGAAAAATATAAAATATTCTGGTATATTTTCATAAAACACCGCACGCCTCTGGATATTTTATGAATGAAATCGGCGATGTGTTTTTAGAAATCTACGTTTCTCGCATCGCTAACCCGATGTTTCAATTCCATTTTTAGACAAAATCACTTTTATTTTCAATTCTGTGGACACTCGTAAAATATTTTACAGATATCCATTTGTGGTCTAAGCGTGGTTGACAATTATATTGAAACATTTGAAATTTCTTTCTACAATGTCCATAATACTAGACCAAATATTAACATTGGCAATTATTTTCCCCTTTTCATTCATTATTCGTACACGGCCATACATAATTAACAATTATGAGATAAAAGCAACATTTCAGAGTAATCCTGAACTCTGACCATTGAAAACGTTGCAGTGAAAATGTGGAAAATCGGAAAATTCCCTCGCTTCAGTCCTGCGTGAAGCGGCGCGAAAATTATCGATTTCCCCAATTGAGGCAGGGTGCTGTCGGTAGCCATATTGGCGAGGTACAAGCTCAGAGCTACTGCCGTCATACCCTTGAGAAAACGGGTCTGGAAAAATCGGAAAAAATCCAAAAAATGTGTCGTGATTCCTAAAAATTATAAAGTGACATAGATCTGAAAGACAAAGAGTAAGTTTCTTTTGTATCCTATAGAAGTATCAATTAGAATTTTAATGGGTTACATTTTATATAACACATAGTGGTCAGAAAAAAATTGAGTAATATTTTATACTGTTCTAATGTAGCTATATATCCCTTAAGTTTTTGATTTTATTCAAAAATAATTAAGTTTATACTCCCAAACTCTGTCATTATTATTTTCACAATTTATTTATAATTTTTTTAATAAACTTCCCATAATTACAATGATATAAAGTCTAGTACCTTAATTCCAAACAGATAAAGAATAAATTTTATTTAATTCATTTATTAGGGAACTCAATAGCTCGCAATTAAATCATTTAATATTATTGATTTTTTAATAGTTTTTTGATTTGCCACTGATAGTTCAGTAAGGTTTATTGACGCTGTGTAATACGTAATTTTTATCAGTATTATTAATTATATTTCAATGATAAATACTAAATAATAATATTCAATATTATCCGGTGTATATGAATGATACAGGGTGTCCCAGGAATAAGTGCAAGTAGATTAACTGATAGTATATACAGGGTTGTTCACCACATACGACACGGAGTATTGTAGCTAAACGATTAGATTTTTACAAATTTTAGGTTTTGGATTCGTTGAAGGACTATTAGAGCTACAATTTAAAAACAATTTGAAAAGATACAGAGTGGCCCAAATAAGTAAAAAATATTATAGTTGTATTTTTTTAAATGGAATTGAAATAAAGGTAAATTTGATTAAGGTTTATTACACTTAAACCTTACCGTTTTTGAAATATTTTCAATTTTGTGAAATTGTACTAAACAATTTAAGGCTTTATTTCTCCAAGGGTATCAGAGTTTTTAATACTACATATTTACTGAAGATTATTAATTGATCAGATATTGGTGTTGCAATAATGAAAATTATACTTCCTTATACAGAGTGTCTAAAAATTTATATTAAATAATTACTAGCTTTAAACGATAATAACTTGTCTAATTTAAATAGAACACCCTGTATAATTTACTTGATTCAGATGCACAATTTAATTGTCTATCAAATTGTGCTATACCATTTTTTACCTATCTCTTCAAGTTTTCGTAGAAAATATAATTTTATATAATTAAATATACAACCATTATTTCCTCCCAAAAATTAGTTAATTACATATTGTTTTAATTAATAAATTATTCTAAATAAATGTGGATTTGACTCAGAAATCAATATAATAATAAATTATGAAAATGAACGTCTCTGTTATAAATAAGCATTCGCCAAAAATAAAATAAAATTTATAAGGTGTTACTTTTTACCACAGTGTCAATACACATACAAAATTCAGTTGTTTAGTATTCGGAACAATTATTACTAATCAACGTAAACAGTCAATTAATGTAGTTTGAATATTAGGATCATATTAATTTGGTCCTTTTTAACAAATAATATTTATTTTTTTTTAATTTTTTAATGAAATAACAAACTATATCGACAATATTAGTATTTGTACTCTTTTAAAATTTGTTACATCTTTAAAAATAATCTAAAATGTCAATATTCCATGGGTATAGTGATAAATGCGGTCTAAATTATAAGAAAAGGTATTTTCTACGAAAACTTGAAGAGATAGGTAAAACAGGGTATAATATAATTTGATAGACAATTAAATAGTGCATATGAATTAAGTAAAATATACAGGATGTTCCATTTAAATTAAACATGTTACAGCCGTTTAAAGCTAGTCATTATTTAACATAAATTTCTGACACTCTGTATAAGAAAGTATAATTTTTATTATTGCAACACGATATCTCATCAATAAATAATCTTCAGTAAATATGTAGTATTAAAAACTTTGATACTATATCTCGTATATGGTGAACAACTCCAGGGTTGTTCACCACATATGACACGGAGTATTGTAGCTAAACGAATATATTTTTACAAATTGTAAGTTTTGGATTCGTTGAAGGACTATTAGAGCTACAATTTAAAAATATGTTTACATGATACAGAGGGTCCCAAATATGTAAAGAACATTATAGTTGTATTTCGTCCCATTGCTGCCAAAAGTCACTAACTTACTTTTTATTACTTCCAAGAAAAATGCGTCTAAAGAAGAATTGCATTGCATAAAGATGTTATAGTTAATAACTATTCGGTATTAAAATAAAACATAAATAGCCAGAAATCGTAGTTAATGACTTTTACAATCCATTCTCCGATTCAAAACATAGTTAGTGATTGAATTTGGTTGTTCGGAAAAATGTTAGTGACTTTTGGCAGCAATAGGACGATTTTTTTAAATGGATCACCCTATATATTATTCCATTTTTAGATTCTACGATTGAAATAAAGGTAAATTTGATTAAGGTTTATCACACTTTTAAGGTTAATCACACTCATTAAGGTTTATCACACTTACAGTTTTTGAAATATTTTCAATTTTGTGAAATTGCAGTAAAAAATTTAAGGCTTCATTTCTCCAAGGGTATCAAAGTTTTTAATACCAAATATTTACTGATGATTATTTATTGATTATATATCGTGTTGCAATAATAAAAAGTATACTATCTTATATAGAGTGTCCAAAAATTTATATTAAATAATCTTTAGCTTTAAACGGCAATAACTTGTTTAATTTAAATAGAACACCCTGTATATTTTACGTGAATCAGATGCACAATTTAGTCTATCAAATTGTATTATACCATTTTTTTCCTATCTCTTCAAGTTTTCGTAGAAAATATATTTTCTTATAATTTGGACATCATTTATCAACATTTATACCCATGGAATATTGACATTTTAGATTTTTTTAAAGCAACATATATGTACAAAATAACAGGCGATAAAAAAATAATAATATTGCATGTCCATTTGTTTACAAAAAGAAAAAAAAATATGTAAATCTTTAAAATAGTATACCAAGTATACCAATCAATCTGTAAAATAGTATACCAATTAAATATACTGCTATTATTTCCTCCCAAAAATTAGTTATTACATATGTTTTAATTAATAAATTATTCTAAATAAATGTAGATTTGACTCAGAAATTAATATAATAATAAGAGATGAAAATGAATGTCTCTGTTAATAAATTCTGTTATAAATAAGCATTCGTCAAAAAAGAAATATAAAATGTATAAGGTGTTACTTTTTACTACATTGTCTAATACACATACAAAATTCAGTTTTTTAGTATTTGGAGCAATTATTATTAATCAACGTAAACAGTCAATTAATGTAGTTTCAATACTAGGATATTGGACCACTTTAAAAAAAATAATTAAACAGTTTTTTTTTATTTTTTCAATGAAATAAGCGAACTATATCGACACTATCTGTACTAATATGAAATCTGTACTATATAGTTTGAAAATTTGTTACATCTTTAAAAATAATCTAAAATGTTAATAATATTCCATGGGTATAGTGATAACATGAGGTCTAAATTATAGAAAATGTATTTTCTACGAAAACTTGAAGAGATAGGTAAAAAATGGTATAAAACAATTTGATAGACAATTAAATTGTGCATTTTATTCACATAAAATATACAGGGCCTTCCATTTAAATTAAACAAGTTATTGCCGTTTAAAGCTAGTAATTATTTAATATAAATTTTGGACACTCTGTATAAGGTAATATAGTTTTTATTATTGCCACACAATGTCTGATCAATAAATAATATTCAGTAAATATTTATTATTAAAAACTTTGATACCCTTCGAGAAATAAAGCCCTAAATTTTTTAATGTAATTTCACAAAATTGAAAATATTTTAATAACGGTAAGGTTTAAGTGTGAAAAACCGTAATCAAATTTACCTTTATTTCAATAGTATAATCTAAAAATAGGATAATATACCGGGTGTTCCATTTAAAAATACAACTATAATATTTTTACTTATTTGGGACACTCTGTGTCTTGTATAATTATTTTTAAATTGTAGCTCTAATAGTCCTTCAACGGACTCAAAACTTACAATTTGTAAAGATCTTATCGTTTAGCTACAATACTGTCTATGTGGTGAACAACCCTGTAATACAGGATGTTCCTTAATGACATGCTAATATTTGAGGGGGTGATTCTTGGACCTATTCTAAGAGAAAAACCTCATTTGAATGTATGTCTTAAACATCTTAATTTCTGAGATACAGGGTGGTAAAATTTTCAAAATTCACATCAAAATACCTTTTTTGGTGTACAAAGAATTTTATTTAATTTAACCAGTAAAAAAGTAACTTCTCTTAATATAAAAATTATTTTTAAAATCTCCATTCATTTCCAACGCATGGTTTTTGATTAAAAAAGTTTTATAGTAGTTTAGAAAAGTATTTTTTAAGATAAGAGAGAGATTAGACTATTTCAGTACTTTGTTTGGTATCTCCAAAAGCAAAGCGCCTCTGCCATCTCTGTATTAAACGGAATAATACGTACTAAATCATATCAAGAGACACAATAACTACTTTAAATAATTTAATTTAGCATAGTTCAAACTGGTTACTGTAGCCAAAAGTTTTACGTAAAGTTTCTGAAGATTAATTAAACATATAATTGAACATGGCTTCTAGTGGACATATGTCAGGTTAAGTAAACTGTTTCAATTGTTTCAGTCTAGTCGATTAAGCCCTGCTAAGTAAAATAGACAGTGTAGGAAAGTTTTCAACTCCAACCATAGGTATTTCAAAGCCTGCTTGACTGAAAATAATAGCATTCTCACTAATCTGAATAAAAACTTTTTTCATATTTTCGTTTCTTCAAATACTGATCTCTGTGGACAACTTATTCTTCTGGCATTAATTGGAAATAAACATGGTGGGCTATCCTTCATTTTGAAATGTCTTTCTTTCTTGCGTTGGTGTATTAAATCTAACGTCTAGAGGTGATTTAGTTTCTAAAGAGTAAGTTTATGGGGGTTAACATTAACATTGTTATTGATAGCTGATAGAGACATTCTATTATTTGATTAAATAGTATATGGTATGATATTTTTAACACAGACTAAAGTT